TCTGCAAAGCCCTCCTGCCCAGAAGGCCACTCTGTAAGAGTTGTTTTGGCACACGGAATGCTGTACTCTCATGTGCACCTGCCTCCAGCTGTGGTCCTTCCCCCAAGGAATTTTTACCCGTGGTGGCAGCATAGCTGTGAATGTGACCACAGGAGAGCTCACAAAGACGAGAAACAAAAGCTCACCTCTCCTTCCTGCATGGAGCCAATTCTGCTCCTTCAGGAGTCACCAGCTGCCCTGAGCACACCACAAGCTGCTCAGAACAATTTCTGGGCCCTGTCTGAGCCTCTGGAAAGTACCTGCACTATCACTGGCTGTTTCTGCAAACAGATCTATACCAAGTCATGTGTCTTTCCTTACTTGACTTCAGGTCTTTCTGCCAGCACACCAAATTTGGGCTCCCATTGCTTAGGTGAAGGCAACTGAAATTTGTCCATTCTGTCACAGCAGGAGTTCAGCTATTCCTCAGCAATGCATAGCATGAGGAAAGGGGAAAATGCAAGGATTCTGCAGAGCCTGCATGTGGGATGAGATGCTCCTGTGGGACACGACCCTGTGACAACTTTAGCAAATCCCTGTCACAATGTCACCCAGCTGATGCCTGAGTGAAAGGATTACTCCAGCACTGATTCACAGCCATGAGGGGTGCAGCACTCTGCTGCCTGCAGCCAGCACGTTTTGCCTGGATCTGTCCCCTCCCAGCCCAAGGGACAGAAGCCTGCATGTCTAGTGCCTTTGGCAGCGATGAGCACGGGCTACAGTGAGTTTCCACCTTTGTGCTGTGTTGCAGCATTGACCTTGGCCAGACTACTATCTGATCACTGCAGTCCGTTCACCAGCCCTGTCTGATACGTGTGGGAACCAGTGAGGGAAGGTGAAGTGACACATGCAGTGCTCCTGATGAAAGATCTCTTTGAACCCTGGAGCTCTGGCTGCCTGGAACTATGCCCTGCTCACCAAAATCCACACCGATACAGCACCCAACAGATGATGTTTCCATGGCCCAAACACTCCCCTCTGTTCCAACTAATTTATAATACCCTCCTTAAGTAATTTCTTACAGTTTTCCTCATTGTTTTCTAAAAACAGATTATTTTTTCTACGTATCTGGCTGGGGGGGTTTGTTTGATTTTTTTGTTTTAGCAACCTCCTCAAAACCCAGGACCATGTCTGAGAAATCAGGTTTCCAGCACAGATGCTGCAGAGAGCAGTGGTTTTCAGGGCTGTTCCTCTGTTATTAGCAAGAACTGGGAGGCTGGACTGTATCACATTGTACTGAAAATACAAAGTGAGAAATGAAAGGAGAAAGAGCACCTTGTGTGAGAGCCCTTTCATCCAAAAGGGAAGAGTGAGCCACGGTGAACACCTTCAGCAGTGATGTGAAATCCTGAGGCCACCAATTAGCCTGGGCATGGGGAGAGGGAGGAGCAGAGCAGGCAGGACTACAGTCCAGTGCACCAGCAGGTGCATTCCCAACAGCCCCCAAAGAAGAGGGCTCCTGGGTAAAACACAGCCTAATGACCATTATTTCCAAGAACACAAGTAACTTATCTGTAAACATCACTCCCCCAACCAGGCATTAGCTGGAAAAAAAAAGCAGCTTTGGGGAGAGATACTAATTACATAGCTCTCAACAGCTGGACTTTGATCATAATTACAGTGCCTTTTTCATCTTACATTAGTGGCTTTCAGCTGCAGCTAGGTGGGCACTTCTTGGAAGGTGGAAATCCCGTCTATTTCAGATAGTCAGCTCTTTTTATGACTCAGAGCTGACCTGGGTTTTCTGCAGCACAGGATGAGCTCCCACGGTATCACTCATGGGGGTCAGTGGCCTGGCACTCCAGTGCAGGTGTTTGTGTCGTTACAGCAGCACTTCCCAAGTCCCAAAGCCAGAGCATTGAGTGTGCATATTCCTGATTTCAAGTGTTTCCCTTTACAAGGAGAGTAGAAGGAGAAAGGCTTTGAGGTCTACTGAATTTTAGCATCTCTCAGCTCTTTCTGTTTAAGAAGAAGAAAGATGGGCAGGCTCAGGATACACCTGTCCAAACAACCTCACTTCAGTCACAACCTACATTTGCATCCTTCACTTCTGCAAAAGGATGTACATCCCCATCTCAGCACCCACTGTTCCTTTGCCCCTCTGACAGCTGGGCTGCAGCTCTAGCACTGAGCTCCAACACACAGCAATGAGTGGGGTTGTGAAGGAGGAGGCTGTGACCTGTGACCCAGCTGAGTTCCCTATGATTTTTTGTGATGCTTTGCTTTGATACCCACATTTACAAATAATTTAATAGCCTAAATGAGGGAGCTAGGCTATTGAGACAGAGGCTGAAGTGGCTTAAACAATCACACAGAGCACAGATTCTGGGCACTCAGCTGTTTTTCCTCATCTGTAGCACTGAATTGCTGCGTTCTATGGATATATCCTTTCACAGTGGCATGTGAAATGACAGGCATGAGGCACATGAGCATCATAAAGGTACATTAGCTGATGGTCCTCGGTGTGCTTTGTGTTCGCCTCTTGACAGAGGAAATGTTTTATCTTGCTCCCACGTGTCCTCCTGCTGGACACCCCCAAACTGAAGAGATAAGTAGATGAAGCAACAGCAGAGGGTAAATCAAAGCCACAAATCTTAGAGTTAACTGGGATTTATAACTGCTTCCCCTTCCACACTGAACTACAGGGAAATCTGTGTGGCATGCATACCCTCCCACCAGTTTAACAGGGTTTAAAACACTTTTCACTATTGGTTTTTGGCAGCATACCTCAACGTTATCAGTTTGCTGGTTAGATAATTACTAGATGTAATTTTAAAGTTGCAAAGAAGCACACTGGTATTAGCTAAATGAAGTATTTTGGCCACATCAAAGCAGAAGTGTTTCAAACTGTGTAAAATAAATGCAGTTCTGAAACTACTGAATTTTGTTAAAGCAGTCAGAGAAATGTCACATAACACATCATGAATATGCAACCAGTGGAGATTAAAGATGAAGACCATCTATATCTCAGACTGAGAAAAGTATCTTTGGGATCATCTTTGAGCTGATTTTGACCTGTGGCAGTGCACAGACTAACAACTGAACAAATGCCACTCTTGGCTCATGTAAACAGACATGCATAACAGCTGAGACATGTTGTTACTCTAAGCTACATCTCAAACAGGTTTTATGACTGAGGGGTGTCACAAATTCTATCTCTCCTGAGGCTTCCCACACTGCAATGGTCACTTAAAAACTCATCATGCTGCTAAGGCATGTGGTGAGGAGCAGCATTTCTACTGTAAGGCCTGACTTGGTGGATGAGGCAGATTTTTAGGGGTTGAAAGTCTTATTTAAAAAGTTCTACCAAATACAGCCAATTGATTCTTTTTGTCTTTAATTCATGCTCCAGCTGAATTTTTTGCCTGAGCCACAGCACCAATTTTCAGAACCTGTTATTTGGGATGAGTTGGGATACAAACTGGCAGGAGTTGACGGGCTGGGAAGCTGTCCCAGAGTTCAGGTACACCTCACAGTGCACCTTCTCGCTTTCCAATGTCAGGGTTTTTCCCTTTTTTCCTTTTTCTTAATTTTCAGTTTTGGAATTTGCCTGGCTGGGGCTTCCAGCCATGGAAACATTAATGTGCTAAAGACTGCACTGCTGCCAGCCCAAATGCACCTTGCTCTGGTACTGCCTTCTCCTGGCCACAGGCACATCCCCGCCGGGCTCAGCGGGGCTGGGTGGATTTGCAGGAGGTCAGAGCGTGGCTGCATGTGCCTGGCCAGCCCTGGGCTCGTGTTGTGGAAGGTCTCCCTGGGGAATCCAATACCCCCGGCTTCATTCCATCTTCCTGTGCCACGGCAGCGCGGCCAAGGACCGTGCGCTATTTCCCAGCCTCTCTCCTTTCCCTCTGCTGGCCCCAAACGCGGCCCCTCCTCGCTGCCAGGTCTCCACTCTCCTCCCCAGGACCTTCACACAGCAGTGGCACCAAACACCCGGATTAGGGGGGGAAAAAGCCCCCACAAACCTTGTAACAAAGTGCAACAGTGGGGAAAAAAACCCAGAGATCACAAAGCTGCCATGGGCTGGTGATGGTGGCCAAGCCCTTTCTCCAACACAGAGCTATGCAGCAGGGTAGACTTCCCCAGCACCCTGTGGAGGATGCAGAGTTAATAGTTAACTCTTCCAGGGATTAATGCCTCCATGAGACACCAGACAGGGCTTTTACAAAACACAGACAGAAACTGGTCTTATAAAGGAGCTCAACAAGTGACTGTGCCCAGAAGATTTCACCTCTCCGAACTTTACGACTGGAAAAATACCATCTACATGTCATTTGCATGCTTAAATATAGTATCTTCTATTGGGAGAAACAAACAAACCGACAATGTGATACTGTGACACCTCGTGTGGACATGCTCTTTTATCTACTGGAAAGTTATAAAACTCAGCGTAACAACAAAGCTAAAATAAGAGTGGTTGTCAAGCTCTGACTCTGGCTGTTAGACAGAAGGAAAAAATATTCCTGGAAAATTGCTCTCTCTTAGAAGGCAGTTTTTTCTTCTCTGAATCTTTTAAATTAATTATTTATCTTTTAAATTCCAAAGTCTCAGGGCTCAATAGTTGGCTCATATCATTCCCAGGAGTTTTTTCACTTAAAGAAACAAACAAACACACAACAGAAAACTAAAGCCATTCCTGTACTACCCAAAGCACAGTGTAACCTTCTGCTCCAAAACACCAGGGAAAGATACTATCAGCCTTTGTCTTATTTATCATATATTTTTTTCCCCTCTAATGCCAAAGAGGAAAAGGGGATATCTTAAACGGATGCCTATAATTAAACAGTAACCTGTTAGAAAGCCAAAAATAATAATAAGCTCCACTGAGCATGAAGAGAGCGGCACATTTTTTCCGCGTGCAGCCCAGCTGCCGCCGGCCGACAGCAGGAAAGTTAACAATTACACGGGAGACTGCGATGGAAGCTGCGATAGCAGGGTTACGTCACGCTCACACTCACCGCGGGATGCAGGGATCAGGGTAGTACGGCAAGGTGGTGAAAGGTGCTGCTTCAAAATTCATTTCCTTCCAGCCCCTCCTTGGGGACAAACTGAAATAAAATAAATAAATAGATATAAAGCCAGCAGGCTAAAAGCAATAAGGTCAAGTGGTACACGAGGTACAACTTTAGAGATTTATTTTACACTTGCGGATGGGTGGGATCTGCCAGGGGCTTGGCCAATGGGATTCATCCAGTTACCCGAGCATCACCACCACTCCCTCCTCGCCAGCTGGGCATCTTCTGCACAGATATTTTCCCCTCCTCTCAACATCCTTAATAAACTTTGGTGTGCACTGGCCACACTTGTTGTTGGGAGCTCATCTGGGGCTTCTCTGAACTTCTGATCTCGCCGGTCATTGGTTGCCTTCCCGCCTGACTTCACAGTTTAATTTTGGCAGCTCTTGCAATTTTACAAACTGCTGTGGCCGCTGGTCATCCTCGTCTCCAGATGGCCGGAGTTTCCTCTGCTGGGTGCAGCGCCTGTGCTGAATTTCATCCTACTTTAAAAGCTTCCCTTGTCAGCTCTGGGTTTAGTACCTGCTTGTAGCTGCCTGGGGAAATTTTCAGTCTCCCTCCCACCATACACAGTTCACACAGTCTGTTGTGGTCACAGTTTCAAAACTGAATGACAAAATATGGGGAAATTCCTCAATTAAAAATAACTTTTTTTTTTAACTTTTGCCTCTCTGCCTCCCCTTCCTGCCCTCCTCCCTGCAAGAAAGTTATCAGATATATTTGTTAATCTTTCCCTTTATAGCTTTTCATTTTTTCCAAAAAAAGTGAGATGATACAGAAATCTTGCATTGTTCGGGTGTCCTGTAAATAACATATACATTTTACACATTAAAAAATCCCCAATATTTTCAATGATTTTGAGGAGAAAGTAAAAGTAAGAAAATACAAATCACCTCTTTTTCAGACACTAAAGCTTAGAGAAACAAAAGTGAAGTCCACTAAAACAAACTACCAAAGATGAAAAGCAGATCTGATTTTCCTGAAGAAGAATGAAAGCAAGAAAGGATGGCTTTAATTCTCTCCCTACCACCTCTTTTTCTTTTTTTCTTCTCTCTTTTGAGTCACACAGAAAATCATTCAGGAAAGCAACCTGTTTTGTCCCCCTGTTTTTTCCCCGTCCATGATTTATCCAAATAGTACAGGCTGTAAACCTATCCTGGTTTTGTGGGTTTGGAGAATGAATGAAATATGAATCAGGAGCTAAATTAAAATGGATTCCAGCAGGAAAAAAATAGCACCCACATATCTGTGCACCAGAGGGATTGCATCTTCAAGCAGACTATACATTTGTGTGGACAGGAGAAGTGTAAGGGACTGCCCTATAGCTCACCTATAGTGCATATTTTGTGCCACTGTCAGCACAAATTCCAGCCACCCCTGGAGCAAAAGTCAGGAGTCCTCTGAGATGGCAGCAATTGCCTATTTTTCCCCTCTGTGTTTTCCTTATAGGAAATGTTGGTTCGAAGAATGTCACGTGGAAACATTTTCTTTGCTGCCTGTGCCAGGGTGGCAGGAGAGCTATTTCAGACTTGACATTCTCCACCCACACTCAGCCTGATAGTTTCTAACATCTGTGAATTGTGAATCCTATAAACTCGCAGGGCTGATCCCCAGCCAAGTCCAAGCAGCTTTCACTAAGTAGCACCCACCAAGGAAGAGAGGCTGGAAGTGAAGGATATGTTTATTAACTGGAGTTAAGGGCTCCCTGCTGCTGGCCACTGCTTCCCTGCCTAGCCCATGGAAGAACAGTAATATCAAATACCTTTTCTCTCTTAGGCTGAACCATGGAATAAACATCAAACCTTTTAGCTTGTGTTATTGGGGAAGAGGTATGGGAATCTCCAAATCTGCTGGGGAGGAGAGAGAAGGATTCACAGCAGGGTTTGCACACACACAAAGCAGCCCAGGGAGAGCTTCAGAGTGGCTGCATCCTCTGCTGCTGCTGAAACTGGGGCTGTGGGCAAATACCTCCAGGGAATGGGCAAGGAGGGCCACACCAACTCATGGTCCACACTGCCAGCCTGGTTTCAGTCTAGGCCTTGAGCATCCACCCTTAAACCACAGACACAGCAAGGAAGTGCTCTCCCTGCCCAGACCATTTGAGCGAGAGCTTGGGCTCGTGCTCTCATACTCCAGGATGTGGTTTCAATCTGCACCCATGGATGTGGGTATGGATAACCAACCATGCACACAGGCAGCAGGCTGGGCTCTGGACACACTGCTGAGACCTCGTGCTTGCTCCTGGAGAAACACCAGAAGCTGGTTGGATTTCGTCTACCATGCCCATGGTGTGCTTAGCTGTTACCTCCTCAAGCCTGACTTCATGGAAGAGTGGCCATGCATTGTGTGCTCTCCAAACAGCCTGGAAAAGTTTGTCTCTCCTCATAGGTTTCATCCTAAAAGGCAAAAGAAATGTCATGAGAAAAGTGCTGTTCTTGTGAAGCCCTGCTCTACCTACTTCTTTTTCATGGGAGCTGGTCCAAGAATGTCCTGGGTGCAATGACCAATGGTTTGGGAGCAGGGAATTACTCCCACCTGGAGACAGAACCTCTTCTGATTTTGGCCAGTCTCCTCACCCAGCACGTGCCCAGATCACACATCCCAAGGGCTTTGTGAAGTAAAACTGGCAGCAGACATTGCTGCCGCTGGGCTGGCCCCTGTCTCCAAGGGTGGAGCCGCCCTTGGTTTTACACTCCCTTAGCTCTGCACAGCCTTGGTACCCCAGGCACAGTAAATACAAGTCTGCTACAGCCCAAACCCCCAGTCCTGTGATTCCTGCTTGCAGTGCTGAACACACCTTGCAGTGCAGAAGTTAAGAAGCGGTAGTCTCCAGCTAGCAATTTACAGCAAAAGAATAACTTCTTCTGAAAAAATTAAAAAAGCAGCACCACATAATTCTGATGAGAAATAGTGGCTTGCAGCAGGGCTGTCTTCTCACTCACAAGGCACTGATGAGAGACATTTCTAGCCAGGACATTTCCACAAAAACTTCAAAAGGGGCCACCTAAGACCTGTACCACCCCTCATGCCAGGGGTTGGGTAAATGCAAATTGCTCATGATTTGGTTTTCTTTGGCAGTGCATACACCAGCTTTTCCCAGAGAACTGGACATTTTCAGCCTCCCACAGAGATCTGGACATGTTCTGAGGTAGCTCAGAATGCCTTTCTTTTGCTTCAACCAGCTGGAAAACCGAGCCATGGAAACCCACTTGCAGTAGTGTACAAAAACGCCCTGCAAAAGCCAGCAAGTGTCCTGATTTCTCTCCTGCAACCCAAACAGCCTTCCTCCCTGCTGCTCACAGCCAACACAGCTATGGGTTGATGGACCAGGAATTTGGGCAGAGATATTCAGCAGTGCAGTGAGGCTGCATGCAGCTCCTCTCAGCTGCAAGGCACGCTGCATAGCACAGTCAGCAGTGGAAACACAAGCACAGGGTGTGTGCCTGTGTGAATTGCCAGTGCCCCGTGCATAGCTGGGAGGCTCTCGGGGCTCGGTGGTATTTGGCCAAGTTCATTTGCACTGCCTTAAAGGAAACCAACCTACTGGGAGATGGAGCCCGAGGTGTTTGGGAGTTGGGATTTCAGAGTGGGGGGTCTGAGTGAATACATGAGGACTAGTAAACTTCATTTAGGAAGAAATTTAGGGAGAAATTCTTTATTTTAAGAAGAAATTCTTTGCTGTGTGGGTGCTGAGGCAGTGGAACAGGTTGCCCAGAGAAGCTGTGGACAGCCCATACATGCAAGTGCTCAAGGCCAGGCAGGATGGAGCTCTGAGCAACCTCTTCTAGTGGAAAGCGTCCCTTCCTCACAGCAAGGAGCTTGGAACCGGCTGACCTTCAAGGTCCCTTCCAACGCAAACCAGTCCACGGCTCTGTGATCCTGTGAGCACAGGCGAGGAGGAGCTTCTTTCAGCGGCAGGCCCCGAGAGGAAAAGGCGCTAGTGGGATGCTGAGCGCTCGCTGCCGAGCCGCTGGGGCCGGGCTGCCGGGGCTGTGACCGGACAGGGATTTCCAGCCGGGCCCGGCAGGCAGGCAGCGCACGAAGCATGTGTGTAGGTGGGCAGGAATGCGGTGCTTCGCTCCGCTCCGCCGCTTCCACGTCTGCGGCAGACAAACAGCCAGGAAACAGCTGTGGGACACTCTCCCGTTACCCCTCCGTGCACCCTCTCTCGACTTAAGCTGTCGCTGAAATGACCGGGAGATTATCTTTGAGCAGAGGCAAACATTTATATCCCCGGGAGGAGACTGCGGGGGATTTACGATGGTCCCCGCACCGCCACCCGAGGTCAGGATGCCTGAGAGCAGCCCCGCTCCTGAAAAGGGCACAAGGGAGAGGCAGCTTCCCGGCATCCCTGAGCCTCCAGCCCTGCTCCGTGGCTCCGGGGACCTCTGAACCACTTGGAGCTGAAGAAGACAGGAAGATGCTTCGCTCTGAGCCACCTTTGCAACTGCTGGCTTCAGGATTTGCCTGAAATCAGACCCGCCCTTTATGCCAGGGGATGAAACGATTCATTCACAGCTCGGGGTTTCCAGGGGAGTGGTTGTGGTTCTTTGTTGGTTTGGTTGGGTTTTTTTGTTTGGTTGGTTTATTTGGTTCTTTTTTTATTTTTTTTTTTTTTCGTTAAGTTATAACTAATTTCTTTTAAGAGGAAGAAGTCTGTGGGATATTTGGGGATTTTTTTTTTTTTTTGTTAGAAAAAGTTAGAGAAGGAAATCATTCCCTCCTACCATCAATGAAATGTTTTTAGGTTGGCTATCTAAGGGAACAGAAAACCACATCAGCATGCCTTTTGAGCACATTTTTCAATTTTAACTAAATATTAGCGATGTTTAAAGGTTTCAAAGGAATTAAGGTTTTAGGAGTTTCATGAACAGAAGTAAGAAAAGACAACTTTTCAGTAACTCCAGTGAAGGGAAAGAGGAAACAAGAGTATGACTCTCACAGGATCTACCCAGTGCTGTGATGGCAGGAGAAAAGCTTCCTTAAGAATTCAGACTTTGCCTCCAGCTAATTTCTGATCCCACTGCTTCAGAAGTGTCAAATTTCTGGCTTTTTTCCAAGCTTTCCCCCCTGCACCTTCCATATTGAGAGACAAGGGATGGAGAGGAGAGCAAACGTAAAAAATAAATTAATAAATAAAGCCACCACAATTCCACACATGATCCTGCCCATTCCCCCAGCACCTTTGTCCCCAGTGCAAACACCAAGCAGCAGAGAAGGGCACTCACACCCCAGGCCCCCCATGCTGGCACTGCCCTCCCTGGGGAGCACAGAGCTGCTGGTGGGGCCTGAGGGACTGAGCCCAGGCAGCAGCTCCCCACATCTGTGCAACACCTGGGCAGGTCATGCCTGGTCACTGATGGCCAGGTGTGGCCCAGGACTGATGACAATGCCCTGAGCCAGCAGTCCAGCACAGCCCGACAGGCACATCTGGAGAGAAGATGGCAAAGGTGTCTCAACGCACCACTCCCACATCCTTCTGCTAAACCTGGACATCTCAGTGCCAACGACTGTGGACTTTAAAATACACAGCAGCTTCAAGCTGCCATCTCCCTGTGAATACCACACACCTGGAGCTCTGCACAATCCTCGTGCTGGCCATCAACTGCTGAGGCAGAATTAGGAGGAAACAAAGGACAGGGCACTGTTCCAGCCCTGCTCAACAGGACAATGGGAACTGCTTTCAGAGCTGTCTGGTTGCCTTTGGTGTCTCCTGTGTCACATCTGTAGTGTCAGAGCATCATCCACTCACAGCAAAGGTCAGTATAGTTTGGTGTTTTCCTTTGTGGGGATAACAGATACTTTCATGAGGCACAAACCATTTATTGAGTGTTTGTCCCCAGGATCTTGTCTCAGCAGGAGCTCAGATGACAGGGGCTGGAAGACTGACTGCCTCAGAGGGGAAAAGCTCAAGTCTTCCATGCTCTCATCCCTCACCATCATCTACTTTGTGATTTTTTCAGGGCATGCCCTAGTTCTCTGCTTGAGCAATCCTGAAACTATCAATACTTTTAAGTAACCCAGAACAGCTACAGCAGGAGTTTCCCACTGCCTCCCTTTCTACTTCAACCCCACAGCTTCTAGCAAAGCACTTTTAACTCTTTTCCTGTTCTCCCACGTGCTTATGGAGACTTCCAGCTCCCACGGGACACTGAGTGGCATTCTTTGTTTCCTCTAGGCTTTCCCATCTTCCATGTCCCAGGGCAGAGACTGGTTCTAGGAGAAAGCCCAGAGCACCCATCTCAGCAGGTTAATTCAGTTGTGCTCTGGGCTTCCTGGAAATGCCAACTCCTTGTGTTTCCATGGGATCGGGCCAAGCCAAAAAGCTTGCCTGAGGCTGGCCCCACTGCTAATCCATCAGCCTCTTTTTCTCACTGACCCCCCCATCAAGGTCCTCAGAGCTGTAGTTTCCTATGTCACAGTCTGTTGGTTAAGCTTCAGAACAGCCATGGATGTTCCCTCTCCTGGAGACATTCCCACCACTGAGGGCCACTCTGTGTCTTCTTTCTCCAAACGTCAGGGCAGCAGAAAGTTTTGACCCTTGTTTTCAAGATGGAAGGAGATGGCATAGGAGCAGACTTGAAGCTGAACATTTGTTTTGGAAGCTGCAGTCTCCATTTTCTCCCTTTGAGGAGTCATCAAACAAAACTAACTATAAGGGTAATACCACAGCAAAGAGCAGATATGAGCACTGGAGAGGTTTCTTCCCACTGTTACTAAAAACCAGGGCACTTCTCCCTATGAAGAGGGAGCAGAGTGAAACAGGTCTAAGAGACCAAATTTGGAATATTGCTCCATCTCCCTTGCCAAGCCTTATGGTTATTCAGGCACATGTGAAGAAGGCAAAGCACAGAGCAGCGACTACAGTGATAAATCAGAAGCAAGGCTCTCTCTCAGCTCTGGCCCCAGAAGAGCCTGCCCTGTCCTCGAGAGCTGGCGGGCCACTGTGCAACTCCCACGGGAAACTCCTGCCACCCGAGGCAGGAGGGAGGGAATTTCCCTGCCTGACGTCAGCGCAGCTGTGCCACATCTCCAGGCGTTCCGAGACACAGCGGGGCCACAGCCCGGCCTAAAGCGGGTCTGGAGGGCAGAGCGCCCCAGGACAGGTGGCAACACCCTGCCATGGGGTCAGGATTGCATATCAAAGGGGTGGCAGGGGCTGTGTAGGTGGAAGGCTTGGTCTCCCCATTCAGCTGCCACACGACATGTCTGGCATTCTGGCAAGAACTGTGCCACAAATACATACAGTGTCATCACACCCTGTAGGGTCAAGCCCAGGTTGGGGGCAGGAACCTCAGTGACCACATCCCTTGTGGGTGAAGGTCTATCCCAGCTCTGCTGTGCAGTGGAGGGGGTGGGAA